ACACCCCCCCTGCAGGTGTGTGAAGGATCTTCCCCTGATAACACTTTGTGACACGCCCCCCTGCAGGTGTGTGAAGGGTCTTCCCCTGATAACACTTTGTGACAGCTCCCCTGCAGGTGTGTGAAGGGTCTTCCCATGATAACATTTTGTGACACCCCCCTGCAGGTGTGTGAAGGATCTTCCCCTGATAACACTGTGACACCCCCCCTGCAGGTGTGTGAAGGATCTTCCCCTGATAACACTTTGTGACAGCCCCCCCTGCAGGTGTGTGAAGGGTCTTCCCCTGATAACACTGTGACACCCCCCCTGCAGGTGTGTGAAGGATCTTCCCCTGATAACACTTTGTGACACGCCCCCCTGCAGGTGTGTGAATGGTCTTCCCCTGATAACACTTTGTGACAGCCCCCCCTGCAGGTGTGTGAAGGATCTTCCCCTGATAACACTGTGACACCCCCCCTGCAGGTGTGTGAAGGATCTTCCCCTGATAACACTGTGACACCCCCCCTGCAGGTGTGTGAAGGATCTTCCCCTGATAACACTTTGTGACAGCCCCCCCTGCAGGTGTGTGAAGGGTCTTCCCCTGATAACACTTTGTGACAGCTCCCCTGCAGGTGTGTGAAGGGTCTTCCCATGATAACATTTTGTGACACCCCCCTGCAGGTGTGTGAAGGGTCTTCCCTTGATAACATTTTGTGACAGCCCCCCTGCAGGTGTGTGAAGGGTCTTCCCTTGATAACATTTTGTGACACCCCCCCTGCAGGTGTGTGAAGGGTCTTCCCCTGATAACACTTTGTGACACCCCCCCCCTGCAGGTGTGTGAAGGGTCTTTCCCATGATAACACTTTGTGACACCCCCCCTGCAGGTGTGTGAAGGGTCTTCCCCTGATAACACTTTGTGACACCCCCCCTGCAGGTGTGTGAAGGGTCTTCCCCTGATAACATTTTGTGACAGCCCCCCCCCCTGCAGGTGTGTGAAGGGTCTTTCCCATGATAACACTTTGTGACACCCCCCCCCCCCTGCAGGTGTGTGAAGGGTCTCTCCATGATAACACTTTGTGACACCCCCCCTGCAGGTGTGTGAAGGGTCTCTCCATGATAACACTTTGTAACAGTCCCCCTGCAGGTGTGTGAAGGGTTTTCCCCTGATAACACTTTGTAACAGTCCCCCTGCAGGTGTGGCGCGGCAGTGTTGGACTATGGCTACCCTCACTGTCCTCCCACTTCTCGGGATAACATAACTCCGTCACTTTTGAGTTTGTTAATTTATTATGCATCCCATACCTATGGCGTGGGGGGTAGTGGACCCCATGCAGTGGGGGAGGGTAGTAGACCCCATGCAATGTGTGGGGGGGGGGTAGTGGACCCCCATGCAGTGTTGGGAGGCGGGTAGTAGACCCCATACAGTGTGGGGGCGCGGGTAGTGGATCCCATGCAGTGCGGGGGGCGGGTAGTGGACCCCATACAGTGTGGGGGCGCGGGTAGTGGACCCCATACAGTGTGGGGGCGCGGGTAGTGGACCCCATACAGTGTGGGGGCGCGGGTAGTGGACCCCATACAGTGGGTGGGGGAGGGTAGTGGACCCCATACAGTGTGGGGGCGCGGGTAGTGGACCCCATACAGTGGGGGGGGGATAGTGGACCCCATACAGTGTGGGGGGGGGAGGGTAGTGGACCCCATACAGTGTGGGGGGGATAGTGGACCCCATACAGTGTGGGGGGGATAGTGGACCCCATACAGTGTGGGGGGGAGGGTAGTGGACCCCATACAGTGTGGGGGGGAGGGTAGTGGACCCCATACAGTGTGGGGGGGGATAGTGGACCCCATACAATGTGGGGGGGTAGTGGCGCAGGCCAGATAATGGAGCTGAAGCACTCCACAGATCAACATCTCTGGTAAAGCTCCCACCAATAAGTTGACTTTAGAATAACGAGAGAAAAGTTAGGGTAAGAAACGTTATCAAAAGTGTGCCGTTATCTTGCGACATCTTCCCCGGCTCTGATGCCCTTCTGGTGAGACGATATCAAGTGTGCCGTTATCTTGCGACATCTTTACCATTACTGTGCTGGCTCTGATGCCCTTCTGGTTATGTACCTCGGTATTAGTCGTATTTGGTCTAAATATATTCTCTAAGTTGAGAGTTTGTTGATGTTACAGCTGGTACGCTGGAGCACAGCTGGTACGCTGGAGCACAGGTGACACGCTTGAGCACAGGTGGCACGCTTGAGCACAGGTGGCACGCTTGAGCACAGGTGGCACGCTTGAGCACAGGTGGTACGCTTGAGCACAGGTGGTACGCTTGAGCACAGGTGGCACGCTTGAGCACAGGTGGTACAGCTCAACTGACAGCTGAAGCTTACAAGCTCAACTGACAGCTGAAGCTTACAAGGTCTGCTTGAAGCACGTACCTGTGAGGAGGGGCAGAAAGAGGACCACTCTAGAAAGAGAACGCAGGCGACTGTACAGGAGAAGGAAAAAAATAACGGAAATGCTTCGGAAGACACAACTATCACAAGCAAGGAAAACAAGCCTAAGCAGGGAGATTGAGGAAATAGAACAAACGTTGAAGCGATCATATGAGTCTGAGGAAATGGAATTGGAACAGAAAGCTATACAAGAGATAAGGAAAAATCCGAAATATTTTTTCACATACGCAAAATCAAAATCCAAAACCTCGACCAGTATTGGACCGTTAATTACAAATGAAGGTACGTACACAGAGGACAACAAAGAGATTAGTGAAATTCTAAGAAGCCAGTATGAGGCTATGTTTAGCACACCAATAAACAACATGAAAGTTGATGACCCAGACAGCTTCTTTATGAATGACATTCAAGCTGCAGATAATATAACGGATATTACCACAAACTCGGAAGACTTTGAAAGAGAAATTGATAATATGCCTCTGCACTCAGCTCCTGGGCCTGACTCATGGAATTCAATATTCATAAAGAAATGTAAAGTACCAGTAGCGAGAGCACTCAGCGTAATATGGAGAAAGAGCCTGGATACAGGGGAGATACCAGCAGCACTTAAATCTGCAGATATAGCTCCGTTGCACAAGGGGGGGAGTAAAGCCTTGGCAAAAAATTATAGGCCAGTTGCACTAACATCACACATAATAAAAGTGTTTGAAAGAGTGATTAGGAATCAAATTTCTAGTTTTATGGAAAACAATGAATTGCACAATCCAGGACAACATGGATTTAGAGCGGGAAGATCCTGTCTGTCACAGTTACTCAACCACTATGACAAAATCACAGAAGCCCTAGAAGAAAAGCAAAATGCAGATGTTGTATACACAGACTTTGCAAAGGCGTTCGACAAATGTGACCATGGGGTGATAGCTCACAAAATGAGGTCAATGGGAATAACTGGAAAAGTAGGACGCTGGATACTCAATTTCCTGTCGAACAGAACACAAAGAGTAACAGTCAATCAGATAAAATCGAGTCCAAGCGATGTTAAAAGCTCTGTACCTCAAGGTACAGTCCTTGCACCGCTACTGTTCCTTATTCTCATATCTGATATAGACAAAAATACACGCCACAGCTTCGTGTCGTCCTTTGCAGATGACACAAAAATCAGCATGAAAATTACCTCTGCTGAAGACATTGAAAAACTACAAGCAGATGTCAACAAAGTTTTTGATTGGGCAGCAGAAAATAACATGATGTTTAACAGTGATAAATTTCAGGTACTCAGGTACGGCAAAAATGAGGATCTGAAACATAATACAGGGTACAAAACACAATCGAATCTTCCCATAGTAGGAAAACAGCATGTCAAGGATTTGGGAATAATGATGTCCGACGATCTAACGTTTAGGGAGCATAACCAAGCAAATATCGCGTCAGCCAGAAAAATGATCGGATGGATTACGAGAACTTTCAAATCCAGGGATCCCATCACAATGGTTGTCCTCTTCAAGTCACTTGTGCTGTCCCGTCTCGAGTACTGCTCAGTACTCACTTCCCCCTTCAGAGCAGGAGAGATTGCTGAAATAGAGGGAATACAGAGAACATATACGGCACGCATAGACGAGATAAAACACCTAAATTATTGGGATCGTCTCAAAGCTCTCCAAATGTACTCTCTAGAAAGGAGACGAGAGAGATACCAAATAATATACACCTGGAAAATACTGGAGGGTCAGGTCCCAAATCTACACAGTAAAATAACAACGTACTGGAGTGAACGATATGGAAGAAAATGCAAGATTGAACCTGTGAAGAGCAGAGGTGCCATAGGCACAATCAGAGAGCACTGTATAAACATCAGGGGTCCGCGGTTGTTCAACGTCCTCCCAGCGAGCATAAGAAATATTGCCGGAACAACCGTGGACATCTTCAAGAGAAAACTGGACGGTTTTCTAAGAGAAGTTCCGGATCAGCCGGGCTGTGGTGGGTACGTGGCCCTGCGGGCCGCTCCAAGCAACAGCCTGGTGGACCAAACTCTCACAAGTCGAGCCTGGCCTCGGGCCGGGCTTGGGGAGTAGAAGAACTCCCAGAACCCCATCAACCAGGTATCAACCAGGTACGCTTGAGCACAGGTGGCACGCTTGAGCACAGGTGGTACGCTTGAGCACAGGTGGCACGCTTGAGCACAGGTGGCACGCTTGAGCACAGGTGGCACGCTTGAGCACAGGTGGCACGCTTCACAACAGGTGGCACGCTTGAGCACAGGTGGCACGCTTGAGCACAGGTGGCACGCTTGAGCACAGGTGGCACGCTTGAGCACAGGTGGCACGCTTGAGCACAGGTGGCACGCTTCACCACAGGTGGCACGCTTGAGCACAGGTGGCACGCTTGAGCACAGGTGGTACGCTTAAGCACAGGCGGTACGCTTAAGCACAGGTGGTACGCCAGAGCATCGACGTTCCCCCACAAAGCCCCAACACCCTAATATAGCTTAATATACATGTTTACAGTGGCCAGATAACACATCAGTGAAGACAGTGTGTGTGTGTGTCTAGTGTGGCTAACAGCTTCCTTCTTCACCAGGTCCTGAGTGAGGCGGAGAAGTCCGAGGTCCATCGTCACGTGCTGGAGATGATGAAGTCGGTGTCGGTGACGGAGGCCAACTCTGGGGTGCTGAACCTGAAGACCACGCGCCACTCCTACAGCAGTGGTGGCCACTCTCCCACGGAGGCCCAGGCGGCCCCGGCGCGCGAGGTGCACCCCTTCAGGGAGTACATGGACAACCCCGCCCCAGACACCTCCGTCTCCGACAGCGAGGAGATCATGGCCTATGTCAACATGAAGGTGGGTCATCCAGCCTCCTAGCTCGCTTCAAGCCATCCAAGAATATTCGGGGTTTTATACACACACACACACACACACACACACACACACACACACACACACACACACACACACACACACACACACACACCGCCTTTGTTGAGAGGCGGGACCAAAGAGCCAGAGCTCAACCCCCGCAAGCACAACTAGGTGAGTACAACTAGGTGAGTACACACTGGAAAAGGTGCAAAGACATGCCACTAAGTGGCTCCCAGAACTGAAGGGCAAGAGCTACGAGGAGAGGTTAGAGGCATTAAATATGCCAAAACTAGAAGACAGAAGAAAAAGAGGTGATATGATCACTATATACAAAATAGTAACAGGATTTGATAAAATTGATAGGGAAGGTTTCCTGAGACCTGGAACTTTAAGAACAAGAGGTCATAGATTTAAACTAGCTATATTGAGATGATTTTGGGGCTTTTTAGTGTCCCCGACCAGGCCTCCACCCCCAGGAAGCAGCCCGTGACAGCTAACACCCAGGTACCTATTTTACTGCTAGGTAACAGGGTCATAGGGTGAAAGAAACTCTGCCCATTGTTTCTCGCCGGCGCCCGGGATCGAACCCGGGACCACAGGATCACAAGTCCGGCGTACTGTCCGCTCGGCCGACCGGCTCCCTACAACAGATGCTTAACACAGATGCATAAGAAATATAAGAAAATTCACATTCGCAAACAGAGTGGTAGACGGTTGGAACAAGTTAGGTGAGAAGGTGGTGGAGGCCAAGACCGTCAGTAGTTTCAAAGCGTTATATGACAAAGAGTGCTGGGAAGACGGGACACCACGAGCATAGCTCTCATCCTGTAACTACACTTAGGTAATTACATACACACACACACACACACACACACATATATATATATATATATATATATATATATATATATATATATATATATATATATATATATATATATATATATATTTCAACAATCCTCATCCCTTTGTATGTATTTTACCTCACTAAACTTATTTCAATTCAACAATCCAAAATATTGTAATATAGGTTGATGATAGTAGGAAAGTAGGGTAGGATAGTAGGAAAACAACATGTCGTGGATTTGGGAATAATGAAGTCCGAAGATCTAACGTTTAAGGAGCATAACCAAGCAAATATTGCGTCAGCCAGAAAAAATGATAGGATGGATTACGAGAACTTTCAAATCCAGGGATCCCATCACAATGGTTGTACTCTTCAAGTCACTTGTGTTGTCCCGTCTTGAGTACTGCTCAGCATAAGAAATATTGCTGGAACAACTGTGGACATCTTCAAGAGAAAACTAGACTGTTTTCTAAAAAACGTGCCGGACCAACCTGGCTGTGGTGGATATAAATAAATAAATGTTTAAATAAATGTTTATTTAGGTAAGGTACATACATAAAGAGATTTTACAAAGTTTGTTGGATTAATAGATAGAAGATAGAGCTAGTACATACAATGCCTAAAGCCACTATTACGTAAAGCGTAATATGTGGGCCTGCGGGTCGCTCCAAGCAACAGCCTGGTGGACCAAATTCTCACAAGTCAAGCCTGGCCTCGGGCCGGGCTTGGGCAGTAGAACAACTCCCAGAACCCCATCAAGCAGATAGTGTGTGGTGTCCCAAGGAACATAAAAGTATAGTACTTTTGAAAAATAGGTGAGATAACAGGAATGTGCCAAGGGAAGGGAAAAAATTGGATGAGAAAAAGTTGCCCAAGTGTTTCCAGTGCAGAGAAAAGCATTCAAGATGGCCGCCGGCAAGAGGAAATACAAAACAGAGCTTGATTTGGGGGGATTCAATGACAAAATCATTGATATAAGCAGTCTAGACAACAAGTTGGCAAAATTAGATACTATAGTGAACTCTCATGTAGAAATAATCAGTAAATTGAAAGAAAGTAATGGCCAGTTGTGTAGCAAAGTTTTTATGTCTTGAGGGTGTAGTGAAAGACTTGCGCAAGGATAAAAATCAATTGGAAACAAATTGCAAAGCCATGGAAGAGGAAAATAAACAATTAAAAATAGCTCTGGAAGAAGTTAAAACAAATTTAAACAAAGTGACTACAATAGGTTAGGTAAGGAAATTCAACAGGAGAAGCAGCTTTTGTCAGCACAGATGGAGGAAGTTACACAGGGAATAGAACAGTGCAAGAAAGATATGCAACTCACTTATGCACAAGTGGCCAAGGAGAAGGAAAAAATTGAAGAAGCAGTAAAGGAAGTCAAACACTGCAGCAACCAAGATAAAACAAACATTAGGCTGGAAGTGAGAAAGGAATTGGCATCTAACCCGAAGTTGGTGCAAAACACAGTTGATCGGAGCAAGTCCCTGATAATTTTTGGCTGCAAAGAAAAGGAGATAACATCTAGGTCAGAAAGAGCTGTAGAAGAAGCTAAAGTAGTAGATAAAATTGTTGGCCTCATGGAAGGTCTTACTACAATAGAGAATGTGTGCGACTACAGGAGAATAGGCAGGTATGTAAAAGGGAAAGATCGACCTTTGAGGATCACCCTAAACGGTGCCAAACAGATGAAAGAAGTACTAAGGAATGCTAGAAAATTACAAAGTGATGAGGATGGTAAAGTGTGGTCGTTAAGACAAGATCTTTCAAGAGAAGACAGAGAGAGAGAAGCTGAAACTAAACCTCGTAGTTGTTGTTGTTGTTGTTTAAGATTCGCTACCTAGAACAAAAAGTTCCAAGCAGCACGGGCAATGGTGAGCCCGTATCGAACCTCGTAGAGGCAAAACGTCTAAATGAGAGAAAAAACGAAGAAGAAACCAATTCTTTTTCTACAAAGTGATAGGGGTAGGCAGGCCTGTAAAATGGTACAAACAGGCAAACCAACAAAATTGCTAGAGAGAGGGGTAGTGAAGAATAAGGAAAGGGGGAACATGTTCCTGAAAATAATATACACCAGTGTAGATGGAGTGAGATCGAAGATACTGGAGTTAAGTGATGTAATACAGCTGCAAACATGACATTGTTGCACTTACGGAGACAAAACTTGAAGATGTTATTTTTAAATGAAGTCGTATTCCCAAGGGCCTACTCAATTTGGAGACTGGACAGAAAAATTTGGAAAGGTGGTGGTGTTGCTGTGCTGGTGAAAGAACACCTAAAGGTGAACGAAATAATGATTGCCAATCCACGAGAAGTTGACGTAATAGCACTAGAGATCGGTCATGAGGATGATAAACTAATGATCATAAATGCATATAGTCCACTGCCAAGCAACACATGGATAGAGGAGGAGTTAGGTAGTAAACGAGAGGGTCTTATAACAATAATGAGAGAGATTATAGCAAGAGCGGATAAAGATAGATCACGACTGTTGATAGTCGGCGACTTCAACTTGGAATTCATAGACTGGGAAGCATATGAAGCTAGAAGAGAAGATTTTTGGACCTGTAGATTTGTAGACCTCATCCTGGAAACATTCTTGTATCAACATCTTAAAAAAGCTACGAGGATGAGGGAAAGGGACGTTTCCTCCATGCTAGATTTGATATTTACCAGGAAGGAGGAAGAGATATTTGACATTCAGTACCTTCCTCCCTTGGGTAAAAGTAACTTTATCTTTTTGGGAATAAAGTATGCAATGCGTTATAATCTGGAAGAAAATAAGGAGGTTGAAGCAGTTGAAAAACCTGACTTCAGGCGAGGACACTGTGGCGACCTTAGAAATTTTTTTAGTGAGTATAATTGGACAGACTTGTTGTTAGGCAAGGAAGTAAATGAGATGTATGTCAAGATTTGTGAAATATATGATAAAGGCACAAAAAAATTTATACCAAAGCAGAGATGCAGAACTAGGAAACAGGATTGGTTTGACAGAAATTGTCAGAGGGGCAGAGACCAAAAGACACAAAAATGGAATCAATATAGGAAGAGGCCAAACCCCCAAACATACCAGCGATACAAAGATGCGAGAAAAAACTACACGTCAGTGAGGAGAGAGGACGAAAGAAATTTTGAAAAAGGGATTGCGAACAAATGTAAAACAGAACCAGGTCTATTCTATAAATTCATAAACAACAAATTGCAGGTAAAAAATAATGTGCAGAGGTTGAAAATGGGAAATAGATTCATGGAAAATGAAAAAGAAATGGATGAAACATTAAACGAAAAGTTCCAAAGTGAGTATGTACAAAATGAAATCTTCAGGGGAACCAGACACAATAAGAATGCCAGAGAACATCTTAGAGCACATAGAGGTGTCTAGAGACGAAGTAGAAAAAATGTTCAAGGAGCTAAGTAAGAACAAAGCAGTTGGTCCAGATGGAGTTTCACCATGGGTTCTAAGAGAGTGTGCACCTGAGCTCAGCATTCCACTTCAACTGATTTTTCAGGCTTCCCTGTGTAAAGGAGTTGTAGCTGATGTGTGGAAAAAGACTAACATCGTTCCAATCTACAAAAGTGGCAGCAGGGAAGACCCCCCCCCCTCAATTATAGACCTGTATCATTGACAAGTGTAATTGTCAAAATATTGGAAAAAATAATTAAAACTAAATGGGGTAGAACACCTGGAGAAAAAAATATAATATCAGACAGACAGTATGGTTTTTGATCTGGAAGGTCTTGTGTAACGAACTTACTCAGGTTCTATGATCGAGCCACAGCGATTTTACAGGAAGGAAAGGCTGGAAAAGATTAAGGTCATGAGGCCATAAAGCAAAAATGTCATCAACATAGCGAAGCCAGAGAGAGGGACGAGTATCAATAGAAGGAAGAAGAACAGTTTCGAAGTATTCCATGTAGAAATTAGCAAGAACAGGGGAGAGGGGGGAACCCATAGCAACACCGAAAGTTTGAGTGTAATATTTACCGTTGAAAGAGAAAGAGTTAGAGTCAACACAGAGTCTAATGAGATCGAGGAAAACATCAGTGGGAAGCGGGAGAGGAAGGAGGCCCTCTGACACCTTCTTTCTAAGGAAAGAGAGAACGTCATCGAGCGGAACATTAGTGAACAGAGAGT